GACTGGTAGAGAAAGAAAGTGATGAAATTCACAGGATTGTCTCTCCCACCATTGCCAGATGGAGTAGGTGGATGAACATTCAATCAATGGATCAATCTCCCAAACAAACAAACATTCCTGGGTACATTCTTGACTAGGTCCTTCAACTGGGGACTGGAACCACCAGGCTGATCAGATGTACTCTTTGTCCTTCACAAGTTCTTAGGCTAGTATCAGAAGCAGACATGGAAATACGTAACTACGGTGTGTAGTTATAAATACTACACACTGAAATAACTAATTGTCATGATATTGACATATCTAAACTCTTATGGCAGCAAAAGGGAAGAAGTATCTAACTCAGAAGGATTAGAGGAGGGAGGCCAAAGACGACTTCCGAAGAAAGACTTTGGAATATACTAGCTGGCTCTTGAAGAACAAAGAGGAGTTTGATAGGTATGCTAAGAAAATGGTGAATAAAGGAGTAGAGAAAAGAAAAAAAATGCAAGAAACATGGATCAGTTGGACAAGAAGCAAGGCTTGGGGCCAGAGAGATAATACAGAGGTAGAGAGCTTGAGTTGCACGTGGCAGACCTGGGTTCAATTCCTGATACCCCATACAGTCCTTGGAGCCTGACAGGAGTGATCCCTTAGAACAGAGTTAGTAGTTATCCCTGAGCACTGCCAGGTGTGGTCCCAAAATGAAACAAAAACAACAACAAAATGAAAGGCTAAAAAGGACAGAAGTAGCACTCAGAGCATTCACAGTCCACTCCACGTGAACTCTGTTGGGATGCTCCTTTCTTGTCCTTCTACAGGACTTTGTCTTGGGTCTCTTCTCATTTTTCTTTCTTTTTTTGATTTGGGTTTTAGAGCCACGCCTGGCTGTGCTCAGGGCTTGCTCCTAGCAGTTCTCAGAACCATATGAGGATTTCTGGGATGAACTAGGATCACCTGAATGCAGGACAAGTGCTTTAACTCCTGTACTATCTATCTGGCCCTCCTCTGACTTTTCGGAATATGCCTGAGCAATCTCATCATTTTTGATAGCATCCACTTGTTAATGACTCCCAAGGTCTTATCTCTTAGGTAGAAAACTCGAATCCTTGACCTAACTACCTTATACTGCTGCATGGATGTTTCATAGAGGTAGCCTAAAATAAAATTCATTTTTTTCCTAATCTACTCTTCTGGCTATTTCTCACCACATTACAAGGCACCATCACCCATCCAAGCACAAAGAGCTAGAACCCTAACTGCCTTGCTAATTCCTCTCCTTTCAGTACCTTACAGTGCAAGCTTTCAGTATCTCCTTCATTCTGCCTCCAAAATGCAGGTAAGCTACAAGGTCAGGAGATAGAGGATTTATTCCTGATTTTGTCACTAATTTCACGAGTGGAATATTAGACTGTGGACAAGTCCTACTCCATCCTCTATTTGCAAATTGGGAGGGAGATCTTTTTATTCCCCAAGTCTGAGCACCCCAAGATTATCTTCCCAGTCAAAGGTCCCCATTGATTATAATACATGTCCATGATGAAGTTCCAAGTTGTATTATGAGGATTCTATTTCTAGTCTACATAAATATGGCTATGTTAGAGTTGACCCCACCTTCCTTAAAAATACATGTTTGCTGATTTGAGGGTGTAGGTGTCACTAGTACTGAGTCCCCTCCTCTCTGCCCAGAAGCTTTGTTGTTTTTTCTGAACACAAGCTATACTATCCCAAGTAGGGACCTTTGCTCTCAGTAAGAATGCCATTGTCCCCTAAGTGGCTGAGACAGCAACTGGCACACAGAGGGTCCTCAGTATGTTTGTGACAGAAGAGTCACGTTTAAATCACTGCAATTCCTTCCTACCAAAGAGGGAAAAAAAAACCCCAAAACCCAAAAGGCAATAACAAGTAAAAATAAGTAAATAAAGTTCATCTCCCGAATACAAGGATTTCCCACAGCAGAAAGTAGTAAGTGCTCTGTCATGGGAGGCATGCAAGCCAAGAGAGGCAGGCACCTGTCAGGCCTGCAGCTCTGATTCCAGTGCTGCAGCAGATCAGAGCACTGCTTAGAGGGTGACTGGGCGCTGGTGAACTGGGCAGAAGGGCACAGGGGAAACCTGTGAAAAAGGCCTGTGCACCTGCTGCAGCCTCCTCGCTATCATCTCAGCTGGGGCCAATTCCTAGGTGTACTGCCCACCGCAGAGACCCCGCACAACAGAAACAAGCCCAGGACCTCTAGTCCGCTGACCTCCCGGAGGTGCAGCCTGTCCCTCCAACGTGCAGCCATCTGCCCCTGCAGGTTTGCAGCCCAGGATCCGAAGCCAAGTCCAGAAGGGCGGACGTCAGAACCAAAGAGGGGGGCCTGGGTCTGGGCGGGTGGGGAGGACAGAATGCAGGGGGGAACCAACAAGGTTCCTTTTCAACAACAAACAGCCTCCGGGGGAGGCTTTCTGTCCAGGGAGCAGTGCTAGGGGAGAAAAGTGTCCTCCAGACAGACTGGTGGGCCTCTGGGTGCCTGAGATGGACGGAGCATCACGCAGGGGGTGGAAGTGTCCGCATCCTGGAGACAGGGGACCCTCTAGACCAGCTGGGCCACAGGATCCCGGAGTCCCACTCAGCAGCCCCACCCGCTCCTCCTCGCCCCTCCGCCACCACCCCCGCCCTCGGCCGCAGCGTTCTACACCTCCGCCAACATCCACCAGCTCCCCAACCCCGGGCTCCACCAGGGAACCATCATCACCCATCCACCCGCGCCTCCCCCCCTCGAACATGGACCTCACGTGAGCAGCCACAGCCCGAAGAATCCCCCCCACTGCCCTCACAGACGTGGACACACCTCACGTGGACAGAGACAGGCACGGCTTCTGAAAAGCATCCCCTGAGAAGGCCCCCTCCCCACCCGCAGACACTCGGACGGACGCACCACGGGCTGGGACCCGGACCCGGGGCCGGGCAGACAGAGACACAGACGCACCCTTGGGGGCTGCCCATCGCACTCACCGCGGCCGAGCAGGATGGGAGGGCCGAGGCCCGGACTGCGGCCACTCCGAGGGGCCCGCGGCGCTGCCCTGGCTGCCAGCGCCCGTCCGCTCGCCCCTGCCCGCGGCGCCGCCCCACGTCCCGCGCCTCCGCCTGTCCCCGCGCCGGCGCCGCCGCCGGACCAGCCGCACAGGCCGGAGGGAGGGGCCGGGGCGGGGCTGCGGCCCGGCCGGGGGAGGGGGCGGCGCGCCCCGAGAACCCGCCCCCGCCCCGCCCCCCTGCGCCCGAGCCTCCGCTGGGGAGTGCGGGAGCCGGATCCCGGATCCTCGATCCCGGATCTCCCACCTCCGGCTCGTGACGGCGGCGGTCTCGGAGACTTGGAATGAGGTTCCGGGAGGAAAAGGCAGCGGGGCTGCAGGGCAGCGGGGCAGCGGGGGGTTGGCGACTCTGGGAGCCAGCCCGGGAGCCTCCCGGGAGGTGCCCTTCCCGGCTTTCTTGGGAGAGCCCCTGCGGAATATGGGCAGTTCCCCGGGCTTGGAGAGAGGGCGCTGCGCGGGTGGAAAGGTGGGGGTCTTGATTCGGTTCTAGGTGCTCGCTCTCTTTCTCTGAGGAGCCCTCTCGGGAGGGAGTTATGGTTCAGACCATCCAGATTCCCTTCTGCATTCCAAAATCCAGAGCAATTCCCAGAGTCATTGCTTTATGGAAAAACAGCCCCGGGGCGGGGGGCGGGGTAGGTAACGGTAAAACATTTAAGAGTGAAGGACTGAGGGGCTGGAGAGATAGTACAGGGGTATGGGATGCTTGCCTCGCACCTGACCCACAGGGTTTCAACCCCGTGTAGTTCCTTGAGCCCGCTGGGTGTGGCCTAAACCGCCTCGAGCCTCCCCATCCAACCTCCCCCGCCCCCCCCCCCAAATAAAAGGTGTGGGACCGAGCACTCATTATGTGCCAGTCACACAACTACTTTACATATATTGTTCCATTTAATACTCATAACCTTAATAGGTAGATTCCTTTTTATTAGCCATGTTTTACAAGGAAAGGAACCGAGCGCTGCAGATGTCAACACTGATCATTCAGCTAGAAAGTGGTATAGCCAGGGTCTGAGCTCTCCTTTTATGCCCTGCTTCAGTCACTTGAAGATTCGGTATATTTCGGGGCGGGGTGCAGGGGGACCCTTCTAGTGGTGCTCAGGGAATCATGTATGCCAGGGACTGAATCCCAGTCTCTCCCACATACTCCAAGTCATCACTCACAGTACACTTCTTGTAGAAAACTGCTGAGTGATATATAGAGAAGGGGCTTATATCAATCAACCTACTTAATGGTCAAGCTCCAGTCAGATGACTGCAGGATGATCCAAACCCAGGAACCTGTCTGGAAGTGGCCATAGCTGTGACAGAGCAAAATCAGGTTGCACAGAGGTGCTGAGAATCTGCTGACTGGCTTGTTCCCTTTCTCCATTTCTCCAGAGAGGTAGGGTTAGAATGTTGAAAGATTCTGGAGCTGTTCTTAGGTCAAGGCGCATAAAGCTGATGGCAGGTACCTGGAACCTGCATAAATCAAAGTGCCATCGGGGAGCTTTCTTGCCTCACACAACGTTCAGATTTGGGCGCAGCACAAGCCTGAGCCTGCTGGGTGTGACCCAAATCACCTACAAGCCTGCTCTTGGGCTTTCAGAGTCTGGGATGTTACTGGAGACCCAGGTCTGCATTACACTAAATTACACTGAGGATTGCACTGTTGTTTTAAGGCCTACTTGACTCAGTCCCCAACACTTCTCTCATGCCGTCAAACGTCAGCTTAAAAGGCTTCACAACTCCTTCTTATCCGAAGGGAAAAAGCCTTTGTTAATCAGCCTAAAGAGGCCTAGTGTGCTCTCACCACTTGCTCCTGTTGTCTCCCTCCTTGCCACTCCTCTTTCCTTTTCCATTCCCAATAAACTACATTTCTCCCAGTTGCCACTCTGGATCTCTGTCCTTGGTCTCTCTCTTGGGTGCTCCTCCCCCTACTCTGTCTACTCGCCCTTCACGGCCTTACCCCCATCTCTCGCTAAGCTAGTGTCCCTCCTCTGTGCTCCCAAAGCTCCCCTTATTTGTAAATCCCTGTACTTATCCCTGCTTGGAGTTGCCTGGTTACTTGTCTCCATCTCTCACTAGGCCCTAGCACTGTAGGCAGGGACCGTGTTTTATTCACTGATGTCTCCCCAGGGACTAATGCAGTGCCTGGCAAAAAGCACTCAATAAACATTTGCTGTGTGAATGAATGAATGCACAGCCCACAAACCCCACCCTCTCTGGGCCCTGTGCCTTTTCGAGAACCATAGCTAAACTAGTGCTGGTCTAAAATGCAAATTAAGCTCTGGCTCCAGCTGGGACGAGGGGAGAACTGTGGGCCTTCGGATTGTGCCTGAAACCTGTGACTTCAGCTGTGTGGCTCCAGCTCTTCTGACCCGATAGGATTTTGGTACAGCAGTACACTGAGCCTTTTCCCACCCAGTCCACCCACATAAACCCCCCCCACAAATTGACCTCACTGGGCCTGCTTTTATGAAAGGTTTATTCCTAGTGCTAGGTCCCCATCTTCCAGGGCTCTAAGCACAGTCGAACTGGGTGGGTCAGTGAGGGGTAGCCCATTCAGATGCAGGGTAAGAAATGGGGCTCCCCCATTCTCCCCAGCCCATTTGGTCCCAGTCCCGTTCTCTGCAATGGGCACGCATAGAGGAGGGACAAAGGGAACTGGAGGCAACATCATTGGTCCAGCAGCGCCCAAGTAGAGCTGCCATTGGCTGACAGGGCCTTCTGAGGCTCTGCCGTTGGTCAGGGGCACACTCCAGGAGTTGGAGATAGGCCTGAGGAGTGGTGCCATTGGCCAGGGAGTGGTTTCATCATAGCCTTTGGCTGTGGAGTGGAAGGAAAAGTTCTGGGAATGAAGCCCAGTGGCCAGGAAGATAAAGAACTGGGCAGCAGTTGCTGGGCCTGCAGGTCCCCTCCCTGCCCATAGCAATGTGGGCAAAAACTGGTATCAGGTCCCAGCCAGAGAAGGGGCGCCCAAGCCAGAGGGCAGGTGGCAAGGGATGTCCTATGTCCAACCTCCCCCACCCTAGGGCTGCCCCTCCCAATGTCCTTCTCGATAGCCAGGTTGGGCCGGGAGCTGCTCACTGCTCCTCTAGCCACGAGGGCTTCTCGGCTCCTGGAGGCCGCAGCTTGATGTTGAACTGCTGCAGGGTCTGCTCCAGTTGTTTCTGGTTTCCAGCAAAGTAGGCGGACACGGCATTGTGGAAGAGCAGCAGCTGCTTGTGCATCACCTTGATCTGGGGGTTCAGCAGATTCAGCTGATGCTGGACTCACGCCCTTCTCGGAAGGGCTATGAGCCTGAGCCAGAGCAAGGCACACGGACGTGCTCTGACTGCTTTTGTGGTAGGGGCTAAACTCCACACCAAGAGAAACAGAGGAGAAGGGGTCAATTGGATGGGAGAAACCTGATCTGGTGTGCTGGTGTGGAGTTCTGGTACTCAAGCTTAGAGAGCTAGGTTTCCCCGAATTATGTTCTAGAATTAGCGATTTTTCAAAGAGAGCAGGGCTCAGGGGATGGACCGGGGATGAGGGGTGGGAGGTCAGGGGAGGGGGGTCAGGAAAGGTAAAAGGGTTGAAGCAGCAGGCAAAGGAGCCTATTCCTTTGCCGGTGTGCATTTCCCTCTGTCAGTGGTGGTCGGGGTGGGGGGGGAAGAGGGGGAGGATGGGTAAGGGTTGGGGTCAGCACCTTGTTTTCTTCCAGGAACTTGAGCTTGATGGCCACATCTCCCCGCAGCTTCTCATATTTGTCCCGATGAGCCTGGAAAGTGGCCTGGGCACTCTCGAGGCGGCTGCGCGTCCCTGCATCCCGGGGGCCTAGGCTCAGCTCCTCTAAGTCTGTTCGGTAGGCATCGTATTCCAGCCTGGAGAGGGGGGTGATACAGGCTGGTCTCCAGGTCTTGGTGCTCCACACGCCTTCCTGAATTCCTATGCCCGATTCCACCCAAGCCAGCCAACTCCCCAGACCCTCTGCCCTGCCAGTGCCCACACCTGGCAGCCTCATACTGTTTGACAGTCATGAGTGTGTCTTCCATGGTCTTGGTGACCAACGTGTTGATACTAGAGACAAAGAAGTTCACAGCTCCCAGCAGTGTCTCTCCATTCTTGCACAGCAGCTTCTGTGTCTCTGCATTATAGCCAAATTCCTCCTGAGGGGAGAAGGCAGGGTGAGACCTTGAGTCAAAAGCCTTTCCCGAATGGGGCTGTGGGGCCCTTCATCCCCCTCCTCCCCAGTCATCCCCCTCCTCCCCAGCCATCAACACTGGAACCACCGAGGAGTGTCCTGGACAAGGCTCTTAGCCAGAAAGTTAGTGGGGCCAATGGGAAGGCCTGGGTAGGAACTGAGGGAGGGGGGCTCTCAGATAAGTTCGCAGGACTAGAACAGGAAAGGCTAGTGCAGCAGGCAAAGGAGGGGCTCAGATTAAGCCGAGCACCTAAGGCATTCTTGCCAATGCAGAGGAAAGTTACTTGGGAGGCACCCTGTGCACCCTCCCCCAGCCCCCTCCAAACTTCTGGACCTCTGTACAAACCCTTAGGCTGCCTCCACAGGTAAGTGCTGCTGGGGGCAAAGCTGGGCCCACCCTGGAGGGGTTCTCCCTCTCGGCTGCGGGAGGGAGGGAGGGAGGGAGGGAGGCTGAGGAGTGACTGCCTGGGAGGGCCCGAGCCCAGTCCCCCCACCCTCTTCTGCCAGGTCGAGGCACCTGAAGCTCTGGGGACTTCTGGCTGAGATCAGCAAAGGCATCACCTAGTGCATGCTGGGTCTGTAGCAGGCTGTAGAGGTGGGCCGTCAGTGCCCGGCCCAGCTGCAGGACGCTCTCATACTTGCGCTTCGTCTCCCGCAGCAACTCAATTTGCAGCTCTAGCTCCAGATCCACAGTCCGGGAGCCTCGGCCAAATCGCTCTGATAACAGCTGCTTTGTGCACTGATTGAGAAGTGGATGAACGGGTCACGGACTTTAGCCCCTGGCTTCCCCAGTTGGCATTTACCCAAACATTCTCAGACTCCTAATCTTAGTCATATATGGGATAGCAGAATCTGATAGAAGGGGGAAAGGTTCCGGGTAGTTTGGGAGGTGGGGGTGAGGAAGGGAGAAGTGCTTGAATCCTACCTTGTATGTGTTGATGCCCCATTTCTTGACGATATCAAACTTCTCTCCAGCGATGCCCCGAGCCACCTCATCTCCGGGGCCAGCAGGAGTGGCACTGTGAGATGGATGGCGGCCAGACCCTAAAGGACCAAGTTCTCTGACATCGGCCTCTCTCAGATGCAACCAGACAACTCTGTAGCTCCACTTCCCTCCCAGAAAATTAAAATGACTCTCCTGGGGCCGGAGCAGGTAGGGCATTTGCCTTGCATGCAGCCGACCCGGGTTCGATCCCATACGGTCCTCCAAGCAATGCCAGGAGTAATTTCTGAGTACAGAGCCAGGAGTAACCCTTCAGTATCACCAGTATCAGCCAAAAACCACAAACAAATAAATTAAATAATTTTCCCGAAGGGGCAGAAGCTAGATTTTCCCCCACTCAGTAGGAGGAGCTCATAACTTTGTGCCTTGAGCCTGAAATCCCATGACTGCCTCCTGAGATAGTGCTGGGGGTTGAAGAGGAAGGAGCAAGGAATTGTGCCGGACAAAAGAAAAAGGAGGAAATACACCAAGTGTGTTTGTACAGGAATGTATGTTTGGGGGAGGAGAGCCAAAGGTGCAGGGGCCAGTAGGTGGAGGATGCTGGGAGTTGATAAAAGGAAACCAGGAAAACAAATGCCATTTGGAATTTTAGTTTGTGCGAGATTCAGGGGTATTTATTTCTCCAAACATCACAGCAGAGACTCTCATGCTTATTTGGTCTACCACCTCCTCTTTAGAAAAAAGGTATTACGCAGTAACTGCCCTGGATAGTTATCTTCTTTAAAGGAACAAACAAAAAGTACCCCTCCCCCTCCTAATTGTACAAGAAAGCTATTACCACTTGCCATGCCTCTGTTGTTCCAGCACCTCCACCCCGACTCCACTTCAGGAAATACCACCTCTTAGAAGCTCCATAAGGTTCCAGATCTCAGGGGCTAAATGGCCAGTGGGAACTGAGGGATGTACCCCAGGACTTCCCCTGGAAAGTCTTTAGGGTGCACACATGCAAAGGCTCCCAAGATCTCTATGTGCAATTCAAGCTTTCTTAAGCAAGTCCTATACTCCCTCACACCACCCCTTTTCCATTCTCCACTCAAACCTCTTGTTCTGTTCTGACTGTTCATACCTGTAGGGATGAGTCCATCACCAGAGCCCCCATAGCCACCAGACACAATGCTGGTTTCATTGAGGTTGGGTCCAGATACCATCACCTGCTGGAGGTCCTGTAGGCCAGAGAAGAGGGGAGCTTCAGGAACACATAGGTAGCTGAAGCATTTGGGGGTGGGGGAAGGGTGAGAATAAGCCTGGATTAAAGTATCATAAAGAGAGCACACAGGGGAAGTCTGCACGGAATCAAAATGACGATTTGTAAAAAAGATGGAAGGGAGTTAGGTAAATCAGGGTAAGACTACTGGGCTAGGAGAGCCCACACTTTCTAAGCTGGGATTTCTCAGTGGAAACAACGTGGAGAAGAATCAAACAGAAGCACCTGCTCCAGCCCATCATCCTCAGAAAGCTGCCCAGCTTCGCCGTTCCCATGGATGGGGATCTCCATTGTGGCTGCCTTCCCTAGGATCCCGTCCGTCATGGCTAGGGAAGGGACTGGAGTCAAAGTCTCCACCCCAGCGCCCTGCAAAGCCCAACACAGAGAGTTCTGGAAATTGGCCAGTACTTGAGAAGAGGAAGGTCTCTCCCCTGTCGTTTTCAGAGGCTTTACAGGTTGCCCCAGGGCTTGAGCCTTCTGGGGGCGAGTGACCACTCCCTTCCTCAGGTACCATCTACGCCTTGCCTCCGAAACGCTTATTTTTCACCCATGCACGCCCAGGTCCCAGGTGTCTTCTCGCCACCTCCCCAAGACGCCCATGATCGTTCATGCATGCCACCATTCCACGGGCATATCCGGATCGCTAGGGTTCATGCACTAGTGGAGGAAGTGCAAATACAGCAGAGAGGAGGAGCAAGAAAGTCTGGGCTCTCTTGGCGCTCAACCCCATGCAGGTGGCCGCCCGCCGCCCGGCCCCTCCGGAGATGCTCCCGACCCAGGGCTCAGGTGCCTACCGCCCATACAGCATTGCTCTCCATTGCTTGGCCTTTCACTCTCCTTTAGTGCTTCTTCCCTGTCCTTCAGGTGGTCTCCCCCTCTTCCATCCCCTGCACCTCCTCTTCCTCGGGCCCTCCCCACCAGGCCTTAGTTGGATCGGTTGGTGTGTGTTCCCGGCCCCTGGGGAAAGTCTCTTTTTCCCAGGCCATGGGCGAGCCCTTCCAAAGTCAGCGGTGTCGCCCCAGGTGTGCGCCCCGGCCCCTCCCCCCTAGACACCTGGGCATCAGGTGTGTCCTCATCCTTCCCCGGGGCTCAGAGGCGCCTTGCCCTCGGGCCAGCTTCGTACGTTCAACTTTTCCCCACCCAAGTCGGTCCCCCTCACCTCGGGCCGGGCAGCTCTTTCCCTCAGGGCGCCAGGCCCGGGCTGCGCGGGGATCTCGGGCTCCAGTTCCCGTCGCGATCCTAGCAGCAGGTCAGGGCTTCGGCGGAAGTGACGTCCCCCGCCGGGCAGAAGAAGCCGGCCACGTAGCCGCGGAGAAGGGCGGAGGTGACGTCAGCAACGGGGGCGGGGTGAACCTTGAAGCGACCCCTCGGTCCCCGAGGAACGGGGAGCGATCACTTCCGGGGCGTTCCCGCGCCGTCCTCCCGGAAGTGACGCAGGCCGCGCGGTCGGCGCGATGGAGCAGCAGCAGCAGCAGCAACAGCAGTTGAGGAATGTGAGTGCACGGTGTCGCCTCCGCGCCCGCTGCTGGGGCGCCGCTGAAGAACTAGGGTTCGGAGGGCGGGGGGCGGCGGGGTGGGGTGCGCGGCCCCTTTTGGAGTGCTAGAGGCAGCGCGGTTTCCCGGGGAGGTGTGGATTCCCCTACCCTCCCCCCCCCCCCCCCCCCCCCCCCCCCCCGGCCCGCTGAGCTCTGGGTCCTCTTTTTCCCCCAGCTGCGGGATTTCCTGTTGGTGTACAATCGGATGACGGAGCTCTGCTTCCAGCGCTGCGTGCCCACCCTGCACTACCGAGCCCTGGACGCCGAGGAGGTGGGCCACTGAGTAGGGGTAACCCCGGGTCGCGCCCCTGCCCCCTCCCTTGTCGCCCTCTCCGCGAGTGTCGCCCAGGCAGGCTGGGGTGGGGACGCAAAGGAGCCGGACCTGTGGCAGCCGCTTCCACCCCGTCTTCTCTCCAGGAGGCCTGTCTGCACAGCTGCGCCGGGAAATTGATCCATTCCAACCACCGCCTCATGGCCGCCTACGTGCAGCTCATGCCCGCCCTGGTTCAGCGCCGCATCGCCGACTACGAGGCAGCCAACGCCGTGCAGGGGGTTGCAGCCGAACAGCCCGAAACGTCGCCATCAGGCAGCTGACCCCTCCCCGCTCAGCGTTGGGCTAGGTGGCACTGCCAGCATCTCGGACGTGAAGGACCGTGGGCTTAACTGAACAGTTGCTTGAAAGCTGGGTATTGTCGCTCCTTTCCCCGGAGCCAATAAACCAGTTGTACTGTTTGGTTTATACTTGGGTGGGGGAAGCAGTGCCCACCTTGGAGACATCCTTTGTCTTGTCACTAAGTGTCTATATGCTGCCTTGAGACTTGAGAAATCACCTCTGTGTAGAAGCAAAACCTCGGTATTCTCGGGACCCGGTTAAAGCCAGGTGTGAGGGTACGGTGTGTGATTCCGCAGGAAGTTGCTTTCTGTCCAGATGACAAAGAAAATGGGAAATCCATTTTGCACTTATGTTTTTACATGACTCACTTGTGAACAAGTATGCATTTATTGATAAATATTTCTATGGACTTTTCTTTTTTCAAGGAGGAGGTTTCTGGGAAGGAGGAGATAACAAAGGGCTACAGATCGAGAAACCACAGGGCTTATAAGCACCACATTCTGGAAAATCAATTCCCTAGCACAAGAGATGAAACCTAGAAGAAGCCTGGGGTGTTCTGGAACTTCAAGCCCTTCCCCCAGCTTGTTACCTTCTTACTGTTTTCTATCTTCCCAGTTAAAACCCTTAGAAAGCCTGGTGCTTGGGGGTGTAGCAGAGTTCTTGCCTTGCGTATGGAAGGTCCTAGGTTCAATTCTGGACTCTGCAGAAAAAGAAAATAAAAGCAAAGTCTTTGTTCTTATTTCACAGGCATTCAGGAAAGAGAAAACGGGAGATAGACTTAACAGGGAAAAATTCGTGGGAACATTAGTGATGTTTACGGGAAGAAGAAAGGATAAGCAAAGCCATTGTGACTTAACTATACCTAAGGTATAGTAAAGACTATACCCTTGACATCGGCTGTTCCACCCTCTACCCCACATTGATCCCACTGTATTTATTACTCTGGTTTCTAATTCCAGCCTCTCCGTTCTTGTTAGAGCCTTCTGCAGAATTTAATTTTGTTTGTAGTGCTTTGATTTTCTGCGGGGTGAGGGAGGGCAGATGTCTTATGTGGTGGGGATTGGGGGCTACTCTAATTTTGCTCCTGGATGTGCTAAGGAACCATGTGGCCTTTGGGATTGAATCTAGGGCTTCCATATATAAAGCATGCACTCCAGCATTTTGAGATATCAACCCAGCCCTGTTTGTAGCAGTCTGAATGGTGCATCACATCATCACTATATGTTCTTACTACCCTGTGTGCTCTTCAGTTGATTCACTTTGTTCTTTTGAACTGCTAGAGAAAAGCAAAACTAATGAATGCCACTCCACTGAGACTCTCTCCAAATTCAACAAGCCTTTGCTACTAACATGCTATCTTTTGTGGACTCATGGTCTAGTCCCTCATCATAGCAGGCTTTTTATATCTTAACTACTCTTCTTAATCCTCTACTTCCCACCTCAACTATCCAGCAATAAGGTGGCCATATTTCTTTTATTATAGAGAAAATAGGAGCTCTTAAACATTGTGCCCATAGGCTGGAGCCGTAGTGACAGCAGGTAGGGCTTTTGCTTTGCATGTGGTAAACCTGGGTTTGATCCTCGGCATCCCACAGGGTCCCCCGAGCACTGCCAGGAGTAATTCCTGAGTGCAGAACCAGGAGTAACCCCTGAAAATTGCTGGGTGTGACCCCTCCAAAAAAGCCAAAAAATAAACATTGGTTCCACAGGAACTCCCTACATTTATGTACATAAAGCAGATGTTTTTTCTTTCCTGGCAGATCAGAAAACTTAGTTATAGAATTGCAGATATAAAATTAGCAAATGTAGCTGATACATAAAATTCACGTTTTGTATATTTATTTTGGGGTAGGGGCTTGTCAGGGATGGAACCAGTGCATATGCAAATGCTGCTGCTGAGCAGTAAAATCTCAGACCCTAAAATTCATGTTCTCACTATACCATAGTCCCTCCCAAAATAATAACTATTGAGCACATGCTGTTAGCATATATCATCTTTTTAATTAGTCTTTGCAACAAAACTATGGGAGGCGCCAGAAATAAAACAGGAGTTAAGGTATTTGCCTCACCTGTGGCTTCCCAAGTTGACCCCAAGCATTGCATGGTCCCCCAGGGGTCCAACCCTAAATAAAATGAATTCAACCCAGACATATTACCACTCAGATGAAAAGGCAAGAATCCAAGAAACTAATCCTATATAGTTACCTACTGAGAAAAATTACTTCAGTTGCCTTTTGCCTTTTTTTTAACTGTTCGAAAACTTGATTTGTTTTTTAGTTTGAATTGAAAGGTTTGTACTACAAGAGTTGCTGAACAGGAAGTGACTTCATGCCTACCTAATAAAATTCTCATTGGAAAATATAAATGCAGTATAAAAACAGTACTAACTCCCCAATTCCCAGAGAGAGGAATGGGAACCTAGGACATTGTGCTGCTGGTGGGAAAATTCTGAGTGTCCTTGAAAACTTACTATGAATTATTTCCATGTCACATACTGGGTAATTGCTGGAAAAAGGATAGAAACATCTCTGACTCTAAAGCCTATGTTCTTTGAGCTTTTGGAGGCTTCTGTTTGCTTGCTCATTTGCACTGAATCTATTTCACGTGGTGAAACAGGTACACTTCTATCTGATCCAGTTCCTTAAGTTTTCTATCTCCTTTGTCTTGTTTTTTTTTTTTCTTATTTACATATGTATGTTCAATACTTAGAAGACCTTTAATCTTATCATCCATCTTCCACAGTGAAAGTTTTTTTTTTTCCCTTTTTGGGTCACACCCAGCGATGCATAGGCGTTACTCCTTATTCCTGGCTTTGCGCTCAGGAATTACTCCTGGCAGTGCTCAGGGAACCATATGGGATGCTGGGAATTGAACCCAGTTCGGCCGCGTGTAAAGCAAACGCCCTACCGGCTGTGCTATTGCCCCGGTCCCCACAGTCTCTGAAGTTTTAAGTTGTCATAAAGCCATTGGCATAATGAGAACAAATTATCCCCTTTACACAAACTCTTTGAACACTGTAATGAGAGCAGATTATCCCCTTCTACACAAGCAGGGCTGTTGTGGCTTCAGAATTTAACTGCCTGCTCCTCTGGAAAGTCAATTCCTTTGAGGCTATTCAATTAAGGAAAAGTGGTGGTCCTACTCTCCTGCATTACTCTAAACAGTTAACACTGGATTATTCTTTCTATCCCTTGACTTTACATGGACATTTAGTATTTGGTCTTTTAATTCTTAATGCAGTCTCCAATTATTTTTATCCTGTCTTAGCCACCCACTCTCAAGTATACCCTGATTAGGGGCATAGAGGGTACAGCAGGTAGGGCTGCTGAGGATGTGGTTCAAGTAATGGAGCAACTGTCTTGCATGTATGAGGACCTGAGTTCATTCCCTTCCACCCATGCCTCCACCTCCTCAGCCCCTCACTGGCTGGTTCTGGCCTTGAGCACATCTGAGAGTGCTTCCCATAAGAACGACATATCTCTATCTTTCTCTACTTCATTTTACTAGTCGGGATGGAACCAGGCATTGAGCTCTTGGTCCTTGAAGACAAAGACCACTCCTTTGAGGAAGGCAAAGTAACTAAAAAGCTGCCATTTGGCCCTGGAGTATTTACACACAGATAAAAACATGTGGAGAAAGCATAAGCTTCTTTAGGGGTAAGCACACCTGGTGGTGCTCAGGGGCTACTCTTAGCTTTGTCTTCAGGAGTCTCTTCCATCAGTATTCAGGGGAACGTGTAGTGTTTAGGATTGAACCTCGCTGCCTGTATGCAAAGTGTGCACTCAGCCTTTTGAGCTATGCCTCTGGTCTCTTTTCCCTTTGTTTCCTCTTCTCTGTCTCTCTTTCTCTGTCTCTCCTCCCCCTACACACACACACCAACTCAACCTCACCCCCCTCAAACCTCAGGTCTTTTATATGCAAGGCATGTGCTCAGTCAACCACAGAATGACACCCCCAACCCCATAAAATAAAATATCATGTTTAAGCCATTGTCTTTTGTGGTCCTTTTTATTTTTACAGTATGTGTGGGGAGGCTGAATTTGAGGGTTCCATTATTTCCCACTGTTGCATAATTCCTAAGATTGTGGATACATTATTTTTGTAATTATGCTATATTATCTGAGTGGGTGGGCTTTACCTGACCACATGAACTTTAGAAACGCAAGGAAAAGAGAGGTCTGGTTGTTTGTAGAAGAAAGCATCAGAAATATTTGAAGAATAACAGCTTCAGAAAGTTGCTGGTTGAAGATGAAAGGGTAATACAGCAAGTTAGGTGGTCACCTCTAGGAATTACTTGAAAGTGACCCCTCATCAGTGGCAAAGAAGGAAATAGAGACATCTGTCCTACAATTCTAAGGAATTCTAACAACATCAAGAATGAACTAATGAGGGTCCCCCGCCCCCTAGACCTTCTAGATAAGATCTCAGCTCAGCCAACACCTTGATTTCAGGTTTATGGTATCCTGAACAGAGAATCCAGTGAAGCTGGAATTCTAATCTAGTTAAGAAACCACAATGGGTGTTGTATTTAAAGCTGCTTACTTTGAGTTAATTTGTTGCAGGGTCACAGACAACTTGTCTCCTGGACTCAGCCTAAAGAGAGATGTAGGTAGACTCTGAAGTGAAAGCAGTATAGTGAGGCCAAGGTCCTATAGGTAAGTAGTGTGACTAAAGGAGAGACAGTTGGTCACAGGTAGTTGATGAGAGAGCAACTTTTAGCTGTGGTAGGGTTTGGCTTTTTTTACCTCGGGGAATGGTGGTATAGCATAGTGATTTCTGAGCAGAGGAGTGACATGTTCTGCCTATATTTGAAAAGGGTCACCAGCTACTCTGAGATGTGCAGATTGCAGGGAGACCAGATAGAAAGCCATGGAATAATCCATAGTAGTTAGATCAAGCATTCTTCAGGTGGTAAGAAATGGCTGGGTGGGACAGGAGCGATGGTACAGAGGGTAGGGTGTTTGCTTTGCACACAGTTGACCTGGATTCGATCCTGGTATCTCATATGGTTCCCTGAGCACCACCAGGAGTAATTTTTAGTGAAGAACAAGGAGTAACCCCTGAACATTGCCAGGTGTGACCCAAAAAGCCAAACTAAAAGAAAAGAAGGAGGAGGAGGTGGAAGAGGAGAAAGAAGAAGGAGGAGGAGGAGAAGGAAGAGGAGGAGGAGGAAGAGGAAGGATCTGACCCAGTCAGATCCCCTTTCCCAAGACCTGCGGGCACCTGGTACCTCAGCCTATATGTGGGCGATGCGCCCGGGTCCTTCCCTGTCCTGCTCCTGCCCCGACCCTTCCCCCTCTGCCGCTGCCAATCATCGACCCTGGCCCCGCCCCTTCTTGGCTCTGATGCTCTTGTCCACTGAGATTCGTGCCCCAAGGTTTATTCTAACGGTTCCCGCCCTGACAGCCGAGAAGGGATGAGCTGTGGGTGAGTTCAGGGCCACGGAACCGTCCTTGGGGTCCCTCTTGCCACTGCTCCGGAAGGTCCCCACCCCGTAATTCCTTCACTTTCCCCTTCCTCCATCCAGCCCGGACCTTCCCTCCCGTTTCTTCTGTTTGCCACAGACCGTCCTGAGGAAATAGTCTCTGTGCCCCTCCTGTGCTTTCTGCCCTTCCGACCCCGCTGAGTTCTAAGGCCATGGGACAGGGCTTTGCCTCCTCAAAGTGAAGACGTGCTCCTCCCCTGCAGGCCACCGCCGTCCTCTCCTCCGTGACAGTTACTTGCTGTTAGCAAGATTCTGTGAGGGGGCACTTGCCGGGTGTGTATGAGTGTACCTCTCCCAGTGGCCAAGAGCGTGTGCCAGCCTCTGAATGGGGCGGTTGTGGTTAGAGTAAGCCTGTGCCTGGGAAGTAAGTCTAAAATCGCATCACTTTCTGCAACAGGCGCTCTCCATGGAACCTCACCAGCAGATCTCTCCCCTGTCGCCCCCTCCCACGCAGAGGAGAGCTCTCTCTCCCATTCCCTCTTCTTCAGACCTTGAACCAGGTGAGGAGAACAGTGTATTGGGAGGTGGGAGAGCCTGTAGGACCGTCCTGGTGTCCCAGGAGGTTCCCAAGGCTATTCAGAACCTGCTTCTTTACCAGCCTCCGAGGAAGCTGAGCTGTGGAGAGGCCCTCTGCTGGCCTGATGATGCCTCACAACTCTCTTCCCTGTCCCAAGTCTCTCTCCTCCCCTTCCCTTCTAATTCTTTGACTCAGACCACCCCCTGCCCTTCTGAAGAGTCTTTTTTTTTTCTTTTCGGGTCACACCCGGCATTACACGGGTTACTCCTGGCTCTGCGCTCAGGAATTACTCCTGGCAGTGCTCAGGGGACCATATGGGATGCTGGGAATCGAACCCGGGTTGGCTGTGTGCAAGGCAAATACCCTACCTGTTGTGCTATCACTACAGCCCCAATCTGAAGAGTCTTTCCTTACCCTTCTCCTGCCTTGGATCCAGCAGGTGCCAGCCAGCAGCCAGAAGCCTGCCTCTGGCTCTCGGAGCCTGAACAGTGGGCGAGCGCCCTTCGACAGCAGCTGAATGTACAACTCCTCTTGGCCACAGAGAAGAGGCCAGACTTGTCTTCTGAAGGCCCATTGTTTCTTGCCCCTGAGTCTCTGCACTCCAAAAGTAGCCAGAATAAACTGGCGCCACCCTGGGCTAGTCAGAGAAGACAGAGGCAGTTCCTGAGAACAGTGAGTCAGTTAGAGCAGCCCACAGCGCTGGACCTCCTGGTACAGGAGCTCCAAACTCTAATCTTGGCCGTGCTACAGGATCGCCGTCCTGAAGCATGGCATTACCTCCATGCTGTGCTGGGTTTGCTACCTCCATATCGAACACTGCTAACCAACCGCCTGGATGTGCTGCCCTTTCTGGAGCAGTTATACCTCTGGGCTCCGTGGGTCCAAGCCCAGTTCCAGCTGGACATACTCAAGGCCATGTACCAAGCCTTTCCCCCAGACACCACTTTGTTAGATTGTGCCTCCCACGTTGATTGCTCATTGCGGAGAAGAAAAAGAGTCTTTCCTGGGCTCCAATGCCCAGCCTGCCCTTTCGTGTATGCCAGGTCGGGAGGAGAGCAAGAGAAGGAATTGGCCACATGGCTGCAACCTCTGACTCTGCCTGAACTACAGCACTACTTAGGTATTGTTGGACCTCAGGTGGCTGTGGAAGAGAGCTGGTGGCTCAATGGGCTTGGCCTCCTGCCTTTGGCCCTTGCAACAGACATCCCCGTACAGTATGAAAAAGATGACACTGACCCTGCAGCACAAAAGTCTACTGAAAATAGAGACACTGAGTAAGTGAAAAAAAATACATTGTCTAGGGATTTGAACAGAGGAATAAAATAAAAATTGGTGGGACATCTAGAATCGGCTCTATGTTGATTTTAGGAATTTGCTCAAGCCAGCCCCTGCTAGCATTAGATTACTTCCTCTTTTTGTGTACAAAATCAGATCCATATTCTCAGGGTTAATTCCAGATGGAAATGCAGAAATTCACGAAAATAAAAAAGGTTTAAAGCTTCAATAAATAGATTAGCTTTCCAGGTTTCCAGACTTCTTATATTCTTCTCACTGACTCATAATCCTGAGGGTACCTCCTTCTAGATGCTGGGTGCTGAGTATAAGGTTCTTCCCTCAGGCATTCCTAGGGGAGTGCTTGTCTGATGAACCTTCCTATTCATGTCTGTGTGACCTAAGCCAGTTCCAAGGCAAATTAGAGTACTGCTAAAAGGGACTTTCACCCTGACCATTTCAGAGCTGTCTTTCTGATCTGCCATTATGCCTATCCTGGCCTTTGAGTGATTATTCCCTCCTGCTCCTCTACTCCCCACCCCCCCAACCTGCCCCCCCCCCAAAAAAAAACAACCCTACCTTCTGCCCTCTAGTTTGACTCTCACCAAGATTTCTGAATGTCTACAGAAATCTTCGAAAGTCTTCGGAAGAATATTAGAATTTGTCCCCATCTCATGATTTAATTATCTAACTGTGAATTCACTGTGAAAGTGTAGTTTTAGCTTTAATCAAACTTCACTTCATTTTTCACCTTGAATTTATTGTCTAGGCAAAGTTTCACCTGAAGCTTCAGGAATCTATCCGTAGAGAGATAGGAGGCAGACTCCGAGGACTCTGATGGAAGGAGGTCTCTAACTGAGAGACAAGCCGGGATGGGAGTGAGTGCAGTTACACGTCTGGGAAGATAGGTGAACTTCAGGGATTTAGTCTGTGATTGAGAGCTTATCTCTGGTCAGTGAATGAGATAGAGAAGCAGATGGGCCTTGGAGGCTTGGCAGGGCTCTGTATGGCGGAGTGTAGGTGGGGAGGAGGATGAAGTAAGAGAAAGCCTAGAATAGCAACAAGAGGAGGCTGAAAGAACACAAGATCTGAAGACTTGTACTAAAACTTATCTATCAGAGAGTGAAACCAGAGTTAAGATTGGACACCTGGAGTGTACAAAGGAGCTCCATATTCCTGATTCCACCATCTGGACCTAATTACAACATATAGGACTTTTATTGTTGAGGAAATGAAAGTTTAATTGCAGTTACATCATTAAAATGTCCTGATTGTAATTCAGGGTCATAAACCACGTGGTTGATATGAACTTTAGAATTGCTCTGTTACCACTGAAAGTGGTAACTTGTTGGTTTAAGTTTGGGCCAATTAATTACCCTGGTATTCTTTGGTTACATTTAAGTTTAAACATTTAGAGGTTTGATTGTTTATTTACTTATTTATATTTGTTGCTCTGGGGTAAACCCAACCAGAATTTTTAATTAAATTGATTGACTTTTGGTTTCTTGGATAATTATCATATCATTATAACTGGCTGTGTGCTGAAGGAAAATAAAATTTGACAGTGTTGGTGCAGGCTCAAGGGGATTGCAGGGTACACCATTATTTCCTGACTGGAAGGGAAAAAATTAGAAACTAGAAATTGGCTGATGATGAAGATAAAGCAATATCCAAATATAGGCTTGGGGATCATGCATCACTGGAGCAAAGGAACAAAGACAGGAGATTTAGAGGGTTTCCAAAGAGGAGAAACCCAGAACCATGGAGGCTTGCTGAGTGAGGAGTTGGGAAAATGCATCTTATATTGCTTTTATGCAGTATGACATAATGCTCAACAGCAACCACATCAATCTAGAATGATTGTTTAGTTATGAGAATAAGAGGAGTAATTCATTTATATGTCACTGTGAACATAGCTTCTGAGTTGCATGATGAGCCCTTTTTACTCCATGTATGAATGCTTTTGGGTACAGACTGTAAAATGGGCTGTGAAAATGCATTAGATCCTTTCAGGCCCCTAATCTAGTATCACTTTCCAATAGTGAAACTATCTCTTTGCTGTGCCCATTCTCTCTTGATTTTTTTACCTTACAGATTTCTGTTTGACTCGGAAACTTGGCGGAAGAAGAAAAAGAGAAGGGTTGGCTTTGTGCCTCAGCTTTCCCTCTTAGGTAATCAGATGTTGGCTGTTCTAAGAACAGAGAGATACCTGAAGAAGATCCACTTCCTTTATCTCAATGTGGCTCCCAGCCGGTACTTTAGGTAAAGAACTTATATGTTGACACTTCTCCTCCCATTCCCTATTTCCGCCCACACTATATTCCTCTCCCCTCTTCTTTCCATTTCTCTGCCGTTATTTCTCCTCTTCTGCCATCATTTCTCATTTGTCTTTCCATTTCTCTCCTTTGGTTCTTCTTCTTAGCCACTTTCTCTCCAGCCCACATGTTCTTTGCTCCCTTTTGTGCTCTGTCTCTTTTTTCTCTTGTATTAGTCATATTTTCCTTTTTTTTGCTCTATCATCTTTAACCTATAATGATGGAAGCACTTAGTCAAAGCATCAGAAGGAAATTTAATGGTAATCTTTTTCTACCCCTATATTTTCAGTAAAGGAAAACCTTTATTTCCCAAGATATTCTGTTCCTTCAGGGTCAGGTGAATGAGACCAGTTGTAGTTACTGGTTTTGGCATATCGAATACACAGCGGATAGCTTGCCAGGCTCAAGAAGTGATCGTTGATGTCAAGAGAGGGGTGCGGCAGGGTGATACCATTTCACCAAAACTCTTCAGTGCCACCCTCGAGAACATCATGCGACGACTGGAATGGGAAGGAATGGGAGTGAAGATAGATGGTCGGCAACTACACCACCTCCACTTTGCTGATGACATTGTTTTAATAACACCAAACATCAGCCAAGCGGCACAAATGCTGGCCGACTTTGACCGTGAGTGTGGAAAGGTAGGACTACAGCTGAATCTTACGAAGACAATGTTTATGAGAAACAGCCTTGTTCCTGACGCCCCATTCGCTCTCAATGGAACGACCATCTCCGAATGCAACAGCTATGTGTACCTAGGTCGAGAGGTCAACATGACAAATGACCTGGCACCCGAGCTGCGCAGGAGGAAGAGAGCGGCTTGGAACGCCTTCAAGAACGTCGAAGAAATAGCTAAGAGGACGAAGAACCTCTGGCTCCGGGCACATCTCTTTGATTCCACTGTTCTTCCTGCATTAACATATGCCTCAGAGACCTGGGCCCTACGCAAACAAGATGAGAACGCCATTCAGGTCTCCCAAAGAAGAATAGAAAGAGCTATGCTTGGAATATCACGTTTCACTCAAATGAGAGAACGAATCCGGAGTTCTGACATCCGTCGACGATCAAGGATCAGGGACGCTGTCTCATTTGCCAAGGTGTCGAAAATCAGATGGGCTGGTCACGTAATGAGATTTAAAGACGACCGTTGGACTAGAGCTGTTACTGATTGGATTCCACGGGATGTCAAGAGACCGCGTGGCCGCCCACCTACCAGATGGTCAGACTTCTTTGTCAAGATCATGAACGATCGGTTTGAGGCCCTCCATGTTCCCGGAGCGAAGAGATGCCATTGGGCTACACTAGCACGCGACAGGGACAAATGGAGACGTTACTGGCGCCCGCTCGAGCAAATCGCCGACTAACGGGAAGTTAAGTGATTAAGTGATTCTGTTCCTGAGACTAAACCAAAATCTGCTCATTTAACTTCTCTCTCCAAATCCTAATTTAATCTCTCAGGTTATAAAACAAGTCTCTTCCTAGGCATTCATTCATTTTTACATCAGACTTAAACCATATCTATTTTAAAAAGTCTTATTTAAGTTTTATCTCTTCCATGAATAACAATATAATAAAAACAATTACCATTAATCAATCTTTCTATGTATCAGGCATGACATGTGTTATTTAATCCTCTCCTTGTCATGTAGGTGCAATTATTATTTCTACATTTAAAAGGTGAGTAGACAGATGCACGAAGAAATCAAGTAACGTGGCCAAAACCAATATAATAAGTAGTGGAAACAGGATTTAAACCTAGGACTATTTTAACTCAAAAGTTCATGCTTTTAAATAGCATTTGATGCACTTTCCCTAAGGTCCTTGTTTTCTGCATACACTTATCTTTGTCTCCTACACTTAGGTAGCACAGATTTCACAGTCACAAACAGTGCCAATGATCAAGCAATTGTTTCCTGGCTATAATTCTACTCTTCTCAATCCTGCTTTGTGTACTGGGACTGGGATTCTTAAAAATTTCTTTCTTCTGGGGGGGTATGGTACTGCCAGCAGGTCAATCTGTACCTGTGAGGCAAGTGCATCAGCAGCCTCATGGCACCTTCAGACTTCCAGATACCCCAAAATTGCTGCTGTGCTTTTGGCCAGACCCCAAAAACTTGGGGCAGACTTACCAAGAAAGTAAACAGCCAAAAGTTAGGTATGTGGGAGACACACCCACAAACCACCTCTGGCTCAGCTATATAACTGGAGGCATGGCCTCTCTGGTTCCTGATTGAACTGCTTAATGACCATGATCCCAGAGACTCAGAAACAAATCTCAAAACCCAATGGCTTTTGGCAGAAATGCGTCCGGACCCTGCAGTAGGTTACTGGCACTGGGTCACTCCAGGTGGGAATAGGTTTCTTGCCTTGGTGTATTCCCCCTGGCATCCTGATGACCACCATCGTACAGAGACCACTGGACAGTCAGGTTTGGGCCCTCAGTGATGAGACACATGGGGCCTCACCAGATGGGGGTGGAGCCGGCCCTTTCCTCCCCATCCCAACGAGACCCCGAGTCACCGCCCATGAATGGCCTCTCTGGCTCCTCATCAAGCTACTTAATGGCCATGATCCCAGAGGCTCAGGAACAAATCTCGGAACCCAGCAGGTTTTGGCAAGAAATCCCTCCAGATTTAATTGTTAAAATTTCAGAATTTCAATATCGTGCAGCCACTACTGCAGCCATGCGACATCATATGTTTTTCATAACCAGCAATAGAAAACAAATTGTCTACTGTTGCCTTTTCAGCAGATCTGAGTGTTGGGGTAAAAACCCAAATATTAATGGTGGGTGTGGTGTCAAAATGTTGAATGTAATCAAAGTATAGAGAGAGTTATTTGGATATCATCTGCCCAACAGGTAGAGGGAGGATGTAGGATGGGGGTATACTGGGATTTTTGGTGGTGGAGAATGGGCACTGGTGAAGGTATGGGTGTTTCATTGTATGACCGAGACTTAAACCAGAAAGCTTTGTAACTGCTCTCACGGTGATTCAATAAATAAAATTATAAAAATGCGAAAAAAAGTAAGGTGGAGTTCACGCACAATTCAATCAGCTTAATCAGGAGTGAATAAATAGCAGTACTCCTACATTAAAAAAATTCCTTTCTTCTTATCCTCATTAGGTTTGATTAGTAGGGTGTGCGAGAAGGAGATTGAAAGGCAGGATAAAAGGAAAAAGACTTTCTTCTTCCTTGGCTTGTTCTTTCTATCAGCATTGCCCAAGAAATGCTATTTCACCCTGGCAGCAGCAGGTATTTTCTCATTAGAATGTTTTTAGTTTTGAGAGGGTACAGACACCTGTTGGGTAGCATCTTCCTGTCAGAATTCCGAGTAACAGTGATGCAAGCTGTGACTTGCATCACTAAACCCCTTGGGTAATCATGAAAGGAAGCATCTCCTTAGAGTCCCAGCTCTTTGAAAGCTTCTTTCAAGCACATAACTTGTAAGAACATAAACTTCCTTTCATTATTCCCCCAAGTCTAGGGCAGACATCCATTTCTTGTAGTTATCAGCAGTTACCTCCTCCCCTGCCTATTTTGACTTTGTAGTCTTCTGACAGATTTTAAAGAACATATCCTTTTTTCTATTAAAATTTATTAATCCATATTTAAAAATCTGCACAGTCACCACAATAAAGTCACTGCAGAATCTTCACTTCTTTTTTTCCTCAACACTATCACTGGCCTTTGCAGTCCCCGTGACTTTCTGTTTTTGCCTTCCTTTCTCTGTTTTCTTGAGGTCTTTCTGTTCTCATAAGGCCAGGTTTTGCTAGTCTGTGGATGGGCTCATTTTTCTTTTCATGATCTAAGGAATCAAAAATCATGCCATAGCTCATCGTCTTGCCATCACCAAAATGGGTTCTGAATCCAAACACAAGATGACATCTGGGGTGGTCTTGTATATTTTAGCAAGTTTCTCTCGAATTTCTGTCTTAGATACTGTGGTCTTTCCAGGGAGAAGGACATTGATGACAAATTTTTCTTTTCTTTTTTTTTATTGAATCACCATGAGATAGAGCATTACAAAATTGTTCATGATTAAGTTTCAGTCATAAAGCATTCCAACACCCATTCCTTCACTGGTGTAATTTTCCAGCACAAGCTTCCCCAGTTTCCCTACCTCCCTTTCAAGCTACCCCTCACCCCAGCCTGCTTCTATGGTAGACATCTATCTTCTCTCTCTCTCTTTCTCTTTCTCTCTCTCATTTTAGGCATTATGGCTTGTAATACAAATGCTGAAAGGTTATCATGTATATCCCTTTCCCTGCTTTCAACCCTCAGTTCTTGTCCTGAGTGATCATTTCCAACTGATATTGTTATACTGGATCCTCCTCTATCTTAACTATCCTCCATCTCCCAAACCATTGACCCACCATTGACCAGTCCTCCTGGCCCGTTTTCCCTGGCCTTGGATATTAGTTTCATACTTTTTTTTTATATCCCACAAATAAACGCAGTCATTCTATATCTGTCCCTTTCCTTCTGATTTGTTTTACTCAGCATGACAGTCTCTAAGTAGTTTCTCATTTATAGGAAAATTTCCTGACCTAATTTTTTCTAAGAGCTGTGAAGTATTCCATTGTGTAGATGTGCCATAGTTTCTTTATCCATACTTCTGTTCTCGGTCAGATTCTGTCTATTGTGAATAGTGCTGCAGAGAACATAGAAGTGCAGATGGTGTTTCTTCTGTGTGTTTTTGGACCCCTCCAGGCTATATTCCCAGTAGTGGTATTGCTAGGTTTGGTGACCAATTTGTCTACTGAAGGAGTCATTTGGTCATGAACTTCCTGGCCCTAATAGTGACAGTCATGATGGCGACCCAGCTTTAAACAGTCAGGAAGGAAATGAAAGAACATATTCCTTTCTTTAAAAATAATTTAATAATGATCATTTATTGACTCACCATGAATTATAAAGTTACCAAATTATTCATTATTGAGTTCCAGGGGTATAATGTTTGAGCACCAATCCCTTCACCAGTGTCCCCTTTTCTTCACCAATGTTTCCAGTTTTCTTCCCACTCCTAGCCTGCCTCTCTGGCAGATAATATTTTTCCTTTTTTACCTTTAGGCACTGTGATTTATAATCAAGTGTATCACCTTATATCCTTTCAGAACCCAGTTCTCGTACAAACAGCCTACTTTACTCTATCATTGTCCTAGTGGTCCTTTTCCTGATCTATCCCCCTGCCAGTAGCAAACTTCCAGCTAAGGACCTGTTCTCCTGCCTTTCATTTCTACTATCTCTGGGTATTAGTTATTCCCCTACTATGTCTCTTTATATCCTGCAAATTAGTGAGATTATTCTTAGTTTGTTGCTCTCCCTTAAAGTAAATTTGACTCATACACTCAGCATGATACTCATCCATATAGCAGCAAATTTTATGACTTCATTTTACCTAATGACCATGTAGATTCCATTGTGTGTATGTACCATAACTTCTTTATCTAGTTCTCTGAAATAACTTATCTTTTCTTTTTTATTATTTTTATTTTTAAAATTTTTATTTTAAATTTGGTGAGACATGGTGAGACACCATGAGGTACAGTTGTAGACTTCCAAATTTTTGTGCTTGGGTTTCAATTATACAATGATCGAGTACCCATCCCTCCACGAGTGCCCATTTTCCACCACCACGCATCCCAAAATCCCTCCCACCCCCCACCCCTCCATCCCACTCTGCCTCTGTGGCAGGGAATTCCCTTTTGTTCTCTCTCAGAACTTATTATTTTTATTAAATGAATTTTGTTGAAATGACTCATAGTTTTCTGTTTTTCATGACTGGACCCTTACTGATACTATGTAGTTTTCCTCTGCTATAAGAAAGCAGACTGTTTCTATTTTGTATGATTTGTTAGGGTGTTTTTTTGGGGGGTTCTTGAGATGATCAACAATTTTTCTGTATAAATTATTAGTGTCCATATCCCCAAAATAATGTACTAAATCATACAAAATTAGAATAATCCATTTTTGAAAAGGTAGGGAAATTTGTCTTTGATATGGGTGGTCCCAGGAAACCACCCTCAAACTTGGTATTCTGTTACTGACCCGGTAATACCTTTGGTTTTAAGCAGTATTATAATACTTGTTAACAGGAAAAGATAATAAATAACCTGTAGTAGCGTCATCATTAGCATTTGCAGCTGGACATAATAACTACCTGCTGACACCTAGTGGCCACTATACTTGTTTACTGATCACAATGCAGAGCTTACAGTAATAAAATGAAAAGTCTATGCCTTTTAACTCAATCACAATTCAAAAGCTAGTCAATTTGTCATAATCAGATAAATGGATCAACGAAAGATTATTAGGCATGTAGAGAGAAAAAAATCACGAGAAAAAGAAAGTTTGAGAGAAAAGAAATCATGTGCAAGATGAAAAGGCATAGTGACAGGGCCAGCATCTTCAAAGATGAAAATCTAGGGAAGTAAATTTGAATTTTGGTACTGGCGTTTTCCAATGGCACTTTTTGACATCAATAGAGACAACTGTGTGATAATTGTATTCCCCTCAATGACAGAGAAGAGCTAAGCTTTCCACAAACTCAGGAAGCTGTGGGTTAAAGATTAGGTTTCACTACAAGGAGAGAGATGTTTTCTAGTCATATATATATACACATATAATAATATATACACATATACATATTATTGAATCGCCGTGAGATATAGTTATAAAGCTTTCATGTTTGAGTTTCAGTCATACAATGATCGAATACCCATCCCTCCACCAGTGCACATTTTCTACCACCAATGTCCCCATATCCCCCACCCTCATCCCACCCCTCCCCCTGACTCCATGGCAGACAATTTCCCCCATGCTCTCTCTCTACTTTTGGACAGCCTATTTGTAACCAGGGTCCTCTATTTGTAACCCAAAGCCTGGGGAGGGATACAAGGTTTTCTCTGTAGGTTCCTGATGGTTCATAGAGATGATTTTCATATTTTATTCAGGTATTTTGTCCAGTTTTTCTAATCATTTTCAAGCAGGAGTGTTACTATAAATTTATAGTGAACCTCTGGCAAAAGTAGAGTTTTGGCAGTTGTTTCATTTGTTTATTTGCATTCCAATGGAAACTAATCCCACTGGCCTATATAAATGTTCCTTAGAACTAGAACACTCAGTTTAAATGTTGCTTTGGTCTGTGTCTTCTGGACTGCAGTTTGAAGCTTCACACAAAGCTGTAATATTCTGCTGTAATATTCAAATCAACACACCTGCTGAAACATGCAAATTATCTAATACCTAGACAGTAACATTAACCAAACTTCGGGTTCTGGGTTTGACTTTCAGTTTTTCATAATGTTCATTGCATCTTTCTAATTTGAAGATCACTCTGATCTCTCTTTCCTCTTTCTACTTACTTTACCTGCATTTAAAAAAAGTTCCTTCTTTTTCCCCTTCCTGAAGTTGGTGCAATTCTCAGAACTCCCACTGATCAGATTTTTTTTTTCAAAGGCCCTACAACCTGGTGGTGGTGTCACCAAAGAAGGTGAATCCTGAGCACTACATCTTCTCTCCATTCGGGGTCCTGCATGTCCATCCTGTGGAGGGCAATGAGACGATGACTCTGGGGACCTGGCACCGCCATTCTGTCCTCTGGCAGCAACTCCAGTTCATCCCTTTCTTCAAGCATTGCCTGTTACGCAAGGCTTTCACTTGGTGGGTAATGATAGTTAGGGGGCTTGGGGGGAAGGGTTGCAGAGACCTGCTGCATGTCACTCTCTTCTGACCTGTAGCTGGAGGAGGAGAGTGAAGTTGCTGACGATGGATCGGTGCCGTATTTTCCTAGAGAAAAATCTGCTCACGACTGTGCCCCACTTTGGAGTCGGGCTCCTTCATATCAACAGGTGAGGTGTTCAAACACAATTTTGGTAGATGGTTATGAAAATATTTTTTGTACAAAGTAAAAAAATGCTTTTTGTAAAATATTGGAAAATAACTCCCCCAAAGTGCACAGGACTAAAAATCTTGGTGCCAGAGATGTGGGTTAAGTGCTAGATTACCATATTTGAAGCCTGATTTCAATCACCAGGAGCTCCTCGTCATCTCCTGAGCACAGCCAGCACAAGAAGTGCCAGGAATTGCCTCCACACAAATTTAAATATGTTTACTGAAAAAAATATTTAATTATACTATCTACCTACGCATGACCACCACATTTTGTTGTGTTTTGTGTCCTTCTAGTATTTTCTTCTACCACAAAGTTTGATATGGTCAAATCTTTACTTTTAACAGTTTTATTTTTCTGAGTACTATTTCCTAAATATGTAAGTATTCATACATCAACTTGCCTCAAATCACACAATTATAAAGGACAAAATCCAATGGGAATAACTTAGGTGTTTGAATATAAATTCTGCTTTTCCTGTACTGTCATGCATACTAGTAATATGGGGGGGGGTATTACTTTCTTGCTTCTCTGTCAAATTCCTCAGCTGTTCCATAATAGGTGCTTCAAACTCAAATTGTACGGGAAACTGTATCTAAATAGAACAGTCGCTACTTTATTCCAATGGACAGTTACCACTGAGCTTGGGAATATGAGCCCCATTGTGTTAGTCATTTTCTTTTATATGAATGTGTCCATGGGCTACAAGCTTGCAATCTCTACTGTAGTATTCTCCAGTTTGGACTAATCAGCATGGCATAAGGTGGCTGGACAGGTCTTAATTTTGTTGCTATTATTGTTGGTTGGTTGATTTGGTTTTGGGACCACACCTGGAGGTGCTCAGGGATTACTCCTGGCTCTGCACTCAGGAATCATTCCTGGTGGGCTCTGGGGACCACATGGGATGCTGGGGTTAGAACTTATATGGACCACACGCCAGGTAAATCCCCTGTCCATTGTATTGCTCTAGGCCCTATTGCTGTTTTGGGGCAAGACTTGGCGATACTCAGGGTTTACTCCTGGCTCTGCATTCAGGGATCACCCCTGATGGACTCGGAGGACTATGGGGCTGCTGTTCCCAGGTGGGGTCAGAACCAGGTTGACCACATACAAGGCAAATGTTCTTCCTGTTATACTATTGTTCTGGTCCCAAGATCTGAATTTATATCCTAGTAAATTATTATATTTATTATTTTATAACATTAAATTATTATTTTATTATTTTATAATATTAAATTAATTATTTATATCCTAGTAAAGGATTTTGCTCATTGTGCTTCAGTTTCCTGGCCTGAAAACTAGAACAAAAATTTCTACTTCACAGCTATAATTACGAGACAGTGAATATAAATTCCTTGTTCAAAGAAACTCAATAGATACTGAATAAGTGACACCAATTCTGTTCATTCTTATCTCACTGGGAGCAGGAGAGGGGGTCTTACAATTTTTTTCTTTTGGTTTTTGGTTTGAGGTCACATTCTACAGTCTCAGGGCTTACTCCTGGTCCTGTGCTCAAGGCTTATTCCTGCTAGTGTTTGGGGGACCATATGCAGAGCTGGGAATAGAACCAGGGTTTTATGCTTGAAAAGCAATGACTTAACCTCTGTACTATCTCTCTGATCCTCTATCCATTTTTTGGAGGATGTTTAGAGATATGGAGTTCTCAAAATGAGTGGTGTGGGAATGAATATTAGAAGCAAAGTAAACCCCTAGGGGAGCTGAGATCATCACTTTTGATTTTAAGAGTCAACTATCCATCCAGACTCTGCGGGCCCTTAGCCTTCCCTATCCCAAGGAAGAAGATTCTGTAGTCTTGATTCTAAGTCAGATTTTGGGGTCTATTTGACCTGCTCTCCCAGCATAAAGTTCACATGGTATAAACATTTAGCTTTTACTTTCAGGCTTCTGCAGGAGATGTACTCTGTATCCTGGCTCCCCAAAGATCCACAGGGGAGCTATGAGCTGCTAGATTTGAAGCAGGCTCTAGTCAACGAGACTCACAAGGCTCTGCATTTTCTCCATCGATGCCTATACCTCTGCACATCCATTCTTCAACTGGTAAGAGACACTCATTTCTGGTAAGAGACACTGGTTTAACTCTTTCTCCAGGGTGAACTTTCCAGAGTTCCAGCTTCTTCTTGTTTACGCTTCTCCTGAGATGCCCTGTCTGGCCTTCAGTCTGCAGATGACTCAGCCATTATCCTGCCAAGCATCTTCAGTCTGAGTCTGGTGTAAATAGCTCTGCAGTCTTTGCTCTGAGTGATTTAGTGGACAGAGGTTTAGACTCAACCTTTCCCTTGAGCTTGTATCTGACCTTGTATAGAGAGAAGGACTATAATATATTTTTTGTGTTGGAGGCATTTAGGAATTTGAGAGTTGGGATTCTGAGATTTGTGCTACTTGGATTTATCATTGAACCTATCCTGAACCATTGTTGACAGGCCATGGTGACTGGTAGGAACAAGAATTCTGCCTAATTATGCCTACTTTACATCTGTGGTACATACCTCCTGTACATACTACCTCCAGGTAATAGTTCTACCAGGTACTTCTTGCTTATAAGCCGTCATGATTATTGTTGCTTGTCCCATGGGGCTGGAAAGTCACGCGGTCTCTGGCTAATCACCATATACAAACTGTTCAATTCTGAGAGGATCCCACATATTTTATAAAAAATAGATGTGAGATGAAGGAAGTATATGGTCTGAGTGAGGTTTTGATTTCTATGTGCTGTACAAAACTTAGAGGTTAATGGGCTTGGCTTTTGCCCTTGGCCCTGGTGATAGAGATTCCCATAGAGTATGAAAGCAATGATACTGAACCTGCAGAGAGATAGAACTTAAATAAGGCTTTTAAAAATAGATATGATTTAAATCTAATGTCATATTAATCATTAGGAACACAATTGTGGAGTGTCAGAGATGACTTTGACTACAAGGAATTCCTATTCCCAGGAGGATTCAGCATCGTCTCCTCCCCTTGATCCCCACTCTAGCTCTCTCTCTCTCTCTCTCTCTCTCTCTCACACACACACACACACACACTCTCTCTCTCTCTCCTTCTCTCTCTCTCTCATTTTGTATTCTGGCTCACATCCAACAGGGTTCAGGGCTTATTTCTGTTTCTTTCTATGTTCTCAGGGATCAGTCCTGGAAGCCCTTGGCAAACTATATGCGGTGCCAGGGATTGAACTTGGGTTGGCTGAGTGCAAGGAAAGGGCCTGACTTGCTATAAAATTGCTCTAGCCCTCCTCATTATTCTCCTCCTTCTCCTCCCCATCTTCCTACCCCCTTCCATCTCCCCATTCTACAATCTCTGTTTCTACCTCGTGGTGTCAGTTGTGCCAGGGATCAAACCCCAGACCTCACACATAAAAACATGTGTTTTATAATTTGAGTCATATCCCTGGCCTTGGTTATTTGAATTTCCTTATAAAGTTTAGAATCAGGTTAAGTTCCAAAAAATAACTTTTTGGGATATTCTTTTTCTGTCTTGCCTTAAATCTATAGGCCAATTTAGGAGAGACTTGATAGCTTCCTAATCCTTTAACATGGGTCTCTTCATTTATTTTGATTTCTTTGATTCCTCTTAGCAAGATTTTATGTAGAGGTCTGGTAATTTTTAATTAGATCAACTGTTTGATTTTCATCAGATATTAAATTTATATTTGATTTTTGTGACAATTATAACTATTATAATGTCACTATTATAATTTTGTCACTATTATACTTTAAATGGCATTAAATCACTGCTTTCTAATATTTACTACACCATACACAAAAATTAGTTTATGGTGGATAAAAAATATAGTGTAAAAGAAAAACTAAGAAGGTTTTAGAACATTGTGATTTTTTATCATCCAGTATTTCTTAAAATTTAAGAATTCTCATCTGGGGATCATAAAGTAACAAAATAGGAGACTAACACCCAAGAATGGCCGAGATTAGTACCAGTAATTTTGCTCCATGGCTTGGAGGCCAGCTACACATGCTAGGGGAAAAGGGAGCTTAGATAGAGAAGGGAACACCAAATAAAGGGTGTTGGGAGGATCCTCCCATGGGAGAAGCATGCTGAAAGTAGACTATAGACCAAACATGATTGCCACTCAATGCCTCTTTTGCAAACCACAACACCCAAAAGGAGAGAGAGAACAAAAGGGTATGCCCTGCCACAGAGGCAGGGTGGGATGGGGGTCTGGGGGGTGGGAGGGATACTGGGATCCGTGGTGGTGGGAAATGGGCACTGTTGGAGGGATGGGTATTTGATCATTGTATAATTGAAACCCAAGCACAAAAATTTGTGAGTTTACAACTGTACCTCATGGTGTCTCACTAATAAAAATTTTTAAAAAAGTTAAATAACCAAAAAAAAATTTAAGAATGCTAAGTCTGGGGCTGGAGTGATAGTATAGCGAGTAGGGCATTTGCCTTGCATGTGGCTGACCCAGGTTTGATTCCCAGCATCCCATATTGTCCCCTGAACACCGCCAGGAGTAATTTCTGAGTGCAAAGCCAAGGAGTATCCCCTGTGCATTACCAGATGTGACCAAAAAAGAAAAAATAAAAGAATGATAAATCTTTAAAATTTTATATTTGTTTATATTAAATGTTTTTTAAAATAGCACTATAGAAAGGATGAAAAGACAAGCAAATGTGGCACATGGAGGCACTTTCAGTGCTGCTACCTGGAATAGGGTAGAATTAGTTTCAGCTGGCATGAAACCCAACAAAAGAGGAGGCTGCGAAGGGGAGGCAAAGTAATCATTATAGTTGATAACTGAATTACCACAGGACCAAACTTGTGGTGCTGCCCAATAAGGAATGACATTACTGAATAAAGTAAATTTGAAATGTTAAATAGCTTGATCACTTGATCATTTGACATCCTGTTACTCATCAATTTGCTTGAGCGGGCGCCTTTTCGAAACCTGGCTTGCTTGCATGATTGTCCTTCATCTAGTGTTCTGCCAATCCTATTCAGAATGACTCGAGTGAACAACTTGTAGATGACAGACAACAGGCAGATCGGGTGATAGTTGCCAATGTTGTGGATGTCTCCCTTCTTCTACAATAGTATTGTCCTGCTGGTTTTTCATTGGGATGGAATCTTGCATTCATACAGGTAGCATGTGAAGAGCCGAGCCAGTGTATTTATGAGTACTGATGGCAGGTTCTTCAGGTGTTCCGGTCTGACCTTGTCTGGGCCGGGTGCTGTTCGCTTCTTTACCAATGAAATGGCGTGTCAGAATTCGGAAGGGAGAACATTGGGAACGACATATCCATCCTGTGGAATCTGGTATGTGGGCAGGTGAATGTGGCTATCGAAGAGATCTGAGTAGAAGTCATGGGTAATCTTCTCCATTGCCCTTCTGGAAGATGTGATAGATCCATCAGGACATCAGAGGGCAGTCATCTTGGTCTTGTAGTTGGCGAAGGACAGGCGGGCGTTGCGAATGTTTTTCCTGGCTTCTGCTGCATCTGCCAGCACTGCTACTCTTCTCTCTTTGAGGCCTTCCTTTATCGCTTCTCTGCACTGCTTCTCAAGCTCGGACGGCTTGCGGTTGCCTGAAGCTTGTGCCAAGTCACGTTGGCAAATGAGCTCAAGAGTTTTCGATGACAGGCGTCTTTTTGTATCTATCTCTTACTCGGCATTCCTTGCACAATCATGGAGGTGCTGAACCAGTCAATCGTATTCTTCGTCAATGTTGTCAATGACGACGGCATCTTCCCATGTTGCCACAATAGTGCCAATGAGCTCCCAGTTGGTGGTCGTTCTGGGAGTTCTCTTCTTAAACTTTGCAGCCCTTTGTCCCAGCTCCATGAATAGAAATTTGCATGAAGGAGACGGTGGTCCCATCCCGTTTGGAATTTTGGGACAACAGCGACATTGGTTAGGCAAAACTGTCGATTGGTCCAATGTTTAGATTCGGCCTTCTGAAACTGTGAGGGATGGTCTTGGTCGACATGATGAACTCAGTCTCTCACCCTGTTCATTCCATTCTAGGCCATGGGTCTTGATGTGGAGTTCTTTAGCTGATATTCTCGGTTCTATCTTGGTATTAAAATCACCGACAATGATCTTGTAGAAGGTGTGGTCTTCTTTATAGAACTTCTCCAGCTCCATGTAGAACTTTTCGATTTCTCCTTCATCATAATTAGGTCATTGTTAAATAACAATGATGTTAAATTTTCTTTGCTAAATATCCTGTATCTACTTCTTTTTCTTGTTTTATTTTGTTTTTAGGTCATATCCAGCAGCTTTCAGGGCTTACTCCTGGCTCTGTGCTCGGAGATCACACCTGGTGGAACTTAGCTGATAATATTTGGTGTCATGGATTAAATTTGGGTTGGTTGCCTGCAAGGCAAACACTCTGAGCACTGTATCATTTCTCCAGGCCTATCCCATATCAGCTTTTTAAAGAAGTGTCAACCAATTCCTAGTTTCCTAAGGTCTCTTTTTTTTAATTTTAAAATTTTACTTAATAATTCTGATTAATAAAGTTACTCATAATTAGATTTCTGGCATACAATGTTTCCGCACCAAACCTTTTACAGGTGTCCACTTTCTTCTATCAATGTTCCCCCCTATACAAGCCCCATTTGTTTCCCACCCACCAATCTGCCTTTATGAGAGGTGCTTTTTTTTAAAAAATAATTTTTGGCGCTGTGCTTTACAATACTTTACAGTACGTTTGCTGATAGGGTTTCATACCTAACACTTTGCCACCTTTCAGTACTACCTCCTTCTCCCAGCTGAATACTTAACCTCCACCATAGCTGAAGTTCCTTCTCTGTCTACGCCCCAACTCCCCCACCAAGTGGCATGTTCCCTCCTAAGGACCAGTTCTCATGTTCAGTGTTAACATTGCCTTTGGGCATTCATTATTCCACCATTATGTTTCATTATATCCCACATATGAGAGAGATCATTCTGTGTCAAGTCTCTCTCCCTCTGACTCATTTCACTCAGCATGGCATTTTCCCCATCCATCCATGAAGCAGCAAATTGAATGATTTTATATTTTCTTATGACTGACATATTCCACTGTGTTTATATACCATAATTTCTTTATCCAGTCATTGATTCTTGGACACTTGGGTACTTGGGTTGTTTCCAGATTTTAGCTATTGTGGGTAATGCTGCAAGGAACATAGGGATGAAATGTCTTTTCTCCGTTTCGTTTTTGGGCTCTTGAGCTCCCAGTTGGTGGTCATTCTGGGAGTTCCAAGAAGTAGAATTGCTGGGTCAAATGGGACCTCAATTCCTAGTTTTTTAAGGATTACCATATTGTTCTCCAGAAAGGATGGTCCAGTCAGCATTCCTACCAGCAGTGAATGAAGATTCCTTTTTCCTTGTATCCACACCATTACTGGTTGTTCTTGTGAGTTTTTTTTTTAACTGTGTCAGTCTCTGTAGTGTGAGTTGATATCTCATTGTTATTTTGATTTGCATTTACCTGATGATTAGTGATGCAGAGCATTTTTTTCATATGCTTTTTGACCATCTGTATGTTTTCTTTGAGGAATTTTTTGTTTATCACTTCTCATTTTTTTGTGGGGTTGGATTTTTGAGGGAGGTATGTTTCTATCAGTGCTTTATATACTTTTGAGATTTACCAATTTATCAGATGAGTGGTGGGCAAATAATTTCTCCCAGTATGCTAAGATCTTTTACCATGAATTGGTGCTGAATTTTATCCAGTGATAATTTTCTAATTCTACATAGGTTATCATGATGTTTTTCTTCTTTTATCTGTTAGAATGGTGAATTGTCAGTGTTAGATAACCTTTGAATTATACGATAAACTCATTTCCTTCCTCTATCCCTTCTTAACTTACTTCTTTTTTAAATATAATTTTTAATTGTGAAATCATTTTAAATAAAGCCAAACAAGGGCCCACCACCTGGTGCACTAAAAAACCAAGCATTGTCATTCCAGCTGTTGCAATAAAAAAGAATCTTTCTTGGCATCTTGATTGCAGTGAGAGCAAGAATAGCGTTCAAATCTCCATTTGATTCAGGGACTATATATATAGGTGGAAGGAGCACTTGAAAGTTCTACACCTATTCCTTGAAAAACAGTGAACTTGTGTTCATATCTTTTTCTAAAACAGAATAAGAAATCTACCACTTTTCTAGTTTCCTTTGTCTTCTTTTATTCTTTCCACCCTCTGTATTTTTTTTTGAAGGGGGTCCATAGCCAGCTGTGATCAGGGCTTACTCCTATAGCTGCACTCATGGAATATTCCAAGTGGGGCTCAGGGAACCATATGGAGTACTGAGGATCAAACCCAGGTCAGTCATGTGCAAGATTTTACAGCCTACTCATTTAGAATCAGTAACATATTTCATAGGCCTGGAAGGTATCCAAAGGGCTGGAGAACATGTTTTGTGTATGGGAGCCATTGGTTTAATCCCAGGCACCACATGTTCCCTCAAGCACTTCCAGGAGTGGCTCCCAGGGAACACTGCACCTGGAGTATCCCTGAGCACTGCTGGGTATTATGATCCATTTCCCTCCCCCGAAAAAGAACAGATTTATTGGTTCATCTATACTTTTTTGTTTTGTTTTGTTTTGTGACCACTCCCGGCGATGCTCAGGAATTACTCCTGGCTCTGCACTGAGGAAATATACCTGGCAGTGCATGGGGGACCAGATGGGATGCCAGGGATCAAAACTAGGTCACTCACTTGCAAGACAAATGCCCTACCAACTATCTCTCTAGCTTTTCATCTGTACTTTTTATAAAGCACTTTACCTGTTGTATTCAGTATACTTTTTCAATGTAAAGTGATATGTTTTTTACATCTGCTATGGAACTGCATATGCCATGCACTATTAAGGAATAGATAAATGAAATTGGGTATGAAAGAGGCCCTTTTCTCAAGCCATTTGGAGGGCAATGGACAAGTACACAAATAACAATAAATGATGATGCTCTAGATGAAGTGCCATTGAGCAGAAAATGCAAGGTGACAAGAGCTTTGTTGAAGCATGAAGAGGACAGCCCATATATCTAAGGACATAATAGTGTTTGCTCTGATGTAGGCCTCAGTTGTTTCATGTCTGGGTCTAAGACAGCTGGAACTTGAACTCAGGGTTAGCAGAAAAATAATTATAGGCACCAGTTAGTTCTAATCACAGATCTGCTGAACATCAAAAGGACAGAAGAGCAACAAGGAAAAATGCTTTTTCTATATCCCCTCTGTTCCTCAGCAGGCCAAGCCCAGAGAAGTAGCAATTCAAAAGCCTTTGTAGGCTGAGGAACCTCTCAGATCTGAAAGTAACCTATGGAGAGGATTGCAGGCCTCCCCTCATATTCTCTGTCCCCCAGTAGAAATTTTTACCATACTCATGCCTCTACTATAACATAAGGCATTATCACCTAGGTCTAATGGTTCATATCTGGAATTATTGTGGAGTCACTCTTATCCAATTTGTCATTTTCTATGTCTGAAATGTAATTCATGAATCTCTTGTCTAGCCAGGTACAAATTTTGAATCCCACCCAGCAGGATTTAAGTACATGGGTTTGGTCTATGAAATGAACTTGTTGTGACCTGTTAATGTGTGTTCTCCATCACCGATTAAAGAATTCAAGAGCTAATCTCTACTGAAAAATAGCATGTGCACTCACACACCCACACCCACATATGCACACACACACACACACACACACACACACACACACACACACACCTTTGTGTTTATCTAGGTTCTTAGTTTCAGGCTCCAAGACCTGAGAATTTTTCACAGAACAATGAGTAGCTGGATTGATCTCTGCCTGTCCACATCCTCTCTACTGAATGTTCTACTCTCTGCTGACAGATTCACAAGGATACCTATAAAATGCACCAGGGCTTGCAGGAGCGAGTACGAAACAGCAAGAGAATCAGGAAAGGCCAGGGCTCCGTATACCTTCAGAGAGTACAAAACCAACAGCTGGAGCATAAGCTGAAGCAGGCAGAGACCTGGTTGCTGCATCTGGGGCAACTGGCCCGCCTCGTAGACTACATGATTTGTCAGAGCCTTGTGTCTACCATACAGAAAGAGATCACCTCTTTTGTGGCCAACATCCTACAGGTGAGGTGGTGGGTGGCATAAGTGGAAGGGGGTCCACATGGTGGGGAATGGATACTGACAACCAGCCTCATGAATTCTTCTGCCTCTTGTTTTACAGGCCCCAAGACAGAATCCCTTTCTTTCAACACGTCTGGTCTTTGATAGTTCTGATCAGCTGTCTCATGATCCTCGTATTGAAAACATAACCAGAATTCTAAATGGGGGCCTAGGGTTTCTTAAGTCCTCTGTTCTGAAGGTACGCGGGACTGGGCAGAGGACTGGCTACAGGGATTCCTCTACTCTGTCATCAGAAACCCTCAGCCTGCTCTAGAGCCTCACTGTTTTCCTTTTCTTTTTTCCCCCCGCTATCTTGACATGAAGATGCTGCAATCTGTAAACCTGAGCACTCCCTGGAATTTTGAAGGTATTTAAGTAGACCTAGATAGAGGGTAGAAATGGTGAAAGGCAGGGAAGCTCATATGTAGTGTGATAATGGCATGGCCCTAAAGTCAGGCCTTGGGTATAGATGGAGAAACTAACCTGGGTACTCTGCACACTTGTGTTGGGAAGGTAAATAATGATTTTTTTTTTTTGCTCATTTGTCCATGTGTTTGTGTGTGCACCCCCTGAGTTTCATGAAAGGTGTATGCAAAAATGTGAGTGAGTACGTTAACCTTCTGATGGTTTATTAAAACTCTGTGAAGTTTTTCTCTAATGTCATAATCGCATTTCATTGAGTGTTAAGCCTGTTTACTAACTTAATTTATACTTGTTTGAAGAGTCTACTTGTTTTTTATTTTATTACATTTCATATAGAAATTAGTAGTAATAGTAATATTGTTGAGCCTATTTTATTAGCAGTAGTTACTGGTTTTTAATCCTGACTTATTATCAAGAAGGAAATACATCTCCACCTTTCTGTTAAAATACATGCTGGTGTTGGAGAGATAATACAGCACATAGGGCACTTGCCTTGCCTGTGGCTCACCTGGTTCAGTCCCTGGCAACACATATGGTCCCCCAACTCCCACCAAAAGTGGTCCCTGAGCGCAGAGCCAGGAGTAAGCCCCAAGCACTGCTGGGTATAATCCAAAAACAAAATATAAAACACAAATGCTGCACAACCCTTTAAAATGCATTCAGTCATATCTGACATGTAAATGCTCTTTGCTTTCCCACCTAACCAGGAGGTTTTCGTTAAATTACTAAGAGTCACAAAAAGTAATTCTAGGAAAGAGTTGTTTATCAATAATGTGAATACATCGTTCAATAGTTGGTTCTGATAAGAACTCTGATGAAAGCCAGAGGTGCCTTTGCATGGTACCGTTTTCCTTCTCCCAATTTGCCTTTAATATAATAATGATTTGTCTTAGTAAATAATGTTGGATTAAAAAAATGTGGTTGTTCTCCCAACTTTCTGAACAAATATGATTAGTTCTTTCCTTAAGTTTGGTAAATTCTTGGTTATATTTCTTTGAGTAACACTATCCTCCCGTTGTTCATCGGTTTGCTCCGGAGGGCCCAGTAACATTGTGAGACTTGTTGTTACTGTGTTTGGCATATCGAATATGTCACGGGTAGCTTGCCAGGCTTTTGCCATTTGGGCGAGATACTCTCAGTAGCTTGCTGAGCTCTCCGAGAGAAGTGGAGGAATTGAACTTGGGTCAGCCCTCCTCTGCCCCTCTCGGAGAGCCTGGCAAGCTACCTGTGACATATTCGATATGCCAAACACAGTAACAACAAGTCTCACAATGTTACTGGGCCCACTTGAGCAAATCGATGAACAATGGGAGGACAGTGACAGTGACAGTGATTTCTTTGAGTATGTTAGCCTTTCTTCCCTCCACCTCTGATAGTCCCACAATTTTGATATTTACTATTATAATGGAATATAATATTTCTCATAAATTTCTTCATTTATTCAAAATCATGTTACTCTCCTTCCTTTTGTGTCATTACTCTTTTTTTTTTCAATTTCTGATCTTTTTTCTTTAAGATTGGGTTTACTTGATAAGCTTTTGGGTTTTTTTGCTTTTTTTGGGGTCATACTTGGCGATGCACTGGGGTTACTACTGGTTCTGCACTCAGAAATCACCCCTGGCGGTGCTCAGGGGACCATACAGGATGCTGGGAATCGAACCCGGGTCGGCTGTGTGCAAGGCAAACACCCTACCCGGTGTGCTATTGCTCCAGCGCCTTGATATGCTTTTTATGTCAGATAGCATCTCTTTCAAATATCATAAATGTTCTTGGTGTAGTACTTCTTGTCCTCATATAACTCTGTAGCTCTTCATATAGACAAACACACAAATGTATTTTATACACATACACACACATTTGGTTGATATCCTCCAATTTGCTGTTCTTTACTATGATAGCTCATTTTCTTTCTTTTTCATTACCTTCTCCTATTTTTTCGTTTGTTTGGTTTTGGATTTTTGAGTCACATTTCGCTGAGCTCAGGGCTTACTTCTGGCTCTGTGTTTCTGTGCTTAGGCCTCATTCCTGGCAGTGTTTGGAGAACCACTTACAGTACCAAGGATTGAACCAGGGTCAGCTGCATGCAAGGCAAACACTTTACTCCTTGTATTATCTTTTCAGCACATATCGTCTCCAGTTCTGGCATTAAGCTTGCCCTTTGCACTGTTGTCATTGTCTTTGAGATCGTCTGTCTTATTTCTGCAGAGGTTGCCTGGAGAAAGTTTCTACTTATACATTTGGATTAGCTTCTTTTATGTTCCTGCAGGTGGCACTGTGGCTGTAGTGTTGGGATTCTCTTTTTTTTCTATGGAGTTATGGAGCAGGCGAGGAGGGCTTGGGGGGTGTGGCAGGGGGGGGGGGAAGTTGCTGGTGGGGTGGAAGCACTGGTGAGGGTAATGAGGAAATTGAAAACCTCAAATTGTTTACCACAGTGGGATGTTGAAGGGGAACAGTCGAGAGGGAAAGCTCCATACTGCCACTCTATGTCTGTGCCACTCCCAACTCCTATTCTTGCAGAAATCTATTTTACAGGGTTGGAGCAATAGTACAGTGGGGACGTGCTAACCCTACACCCAGAAACAATCCTGGCTCCATCCCAGGCACTCGATATTTTCCCCCAAGCCCCACCAGGAGTAATACCCGAGTGCAGAGCCAAGTGGAAGCCCTGAGTACTGCAATGTATAGCCCAAACACAATGACAAACACTCCCTCCCTCCCTCTCTCTTTTTCTCTCTCTCCCTTTCTTCCTCTCTCCCTCTCTCTCTTTCTCTGTTTCTGTCCCACTCACACACACACACAAGAAAAAGAAAAAGAAAGAAATTCTACTGCATAGTCTCTGCCTGCAGTCTATGGCTGGATAGCAGCATTATTCTGTGGAAAGGAGAATCCACTGGACTAGCTGCCGTAATCCAAAACACTAGAACTCAGTATTGTTTTGATTGTCCAAGAACTCAATTTCTTTCAACAGTGCAGTCTTTCACCTGTTTGGAAATTAGACCGTTACTTCTAACAATTTGACTCTATCCCTGCAGCTCCTTATATTGATGTCTCTCTTAATCAGTTTGCTTTCCTGAAAATTGTTTGTTTATTTTCCCTAGACCAGGCTTATGGGAACAAAATTTTCTAGTTCTGAACGGAGAATAAACGTGTGCCTTTTGAAAGTAGTACCAGATAAAGTCACTGATGCTTACTTTTCCCTTCGCATACGCTAGAGATACTATCAAAAAATCTTCTTGTTGATTTTCTGCTATTAGAAAAGTCTGATGAGGGGCTGGAGTGACAGTATAGCAGGCAGGGAATTTGTCTTGTTACAACCAACCTGGGTTCAACCCCCAACACCCCATATAGTCTCCCTGAGCCCAGCCAGGAGCGATCCCTAAGCACAGAGCCAAGAGTAAGTAAGCCCTGAGCATAGCTAGGTGTGGTCCCAAAATAAAAACAAACAAAAAGTCTAATGATAAATCAGTAGGTTGATTTCCATAATAAATCACTTGCTCTCTTTGCCTAGGTGCCTAAAGTCTTTTTTGTTTTCCATGTAACTTAGTAGAATATATATTTGGTGGTGGTGGTTCTAGGGTGTTCACACAGTGCTCCTGAGTCCATGGTTCTAAAGATAGACTCCAGGGCTCACACAGATATGGTATTGCTCCGCCACTGAGCTGCATCCTGCAGCCCAAAGTAGGTCTTGATACTGAACACTGAGCCAGTGTGCTCTGGTAAACTCTTGGAAAAACGCTACCTTAAATCTTTTGTATTTCTAGAATATTTTCCTAAATTAAAGCTCTAAGTTTTTCTTATCTTCCTTTACTTTGCATTTATATTTAAAGCTCCTATTTTATGTATTTTAGATTCATGAAATATTCTTAGATTTCTTGTGTTATAAAATAACCTTTCATTTTACATTTTATTTCTTCTAAAGCACATCTCAAGTATATTTGCTCTTATGCTGCTTTTTGTTTGTTTGTTAGTTTTGGGTCACACCAAAACAGGAGTTACTCCTGGCTCATGCACTCAGGAATTACTCCTGGCAGTGCTTAAAGATGCTGAGAATCCAACCTGGGTCTACCATGTGCAAGGAAAACATCCTACCCACTGTGCTATTGCTCCAGCCTCTCTTATGCTGCTTTTTAAATTCAAATTCTAGTCTGAAATGACTTTTTTCTTGTATGCCCAAGGTATGTTTCATAATTTCCTAGTTTATCTAAATCTGATGTTCTTTAGTAAAGTATCTTTTTATTTTATTGAATCACCGCAAGATGCACAGTTATAAAGTTGTTCATGATTGGGTTTCTGTCATACAATGTTCCAACACCTGTCCCTTCACCTTCACCAGTGTACATTTCCCACCACTAATGTCCCCAGTTTCCTTCCAGTGCTTGCTGCTTGTCTCGCTTACAGCCAACCCTGACACTGAACATGGTCCCCTGATCACCAGCAGGGGTCCCTCATGAGTACAAGTCCAGGAATAGCCCCTGAGCTCAGCAGGATGTGGTACCCAACACTTTCCCCACAAATAAATTTTTAAGGTTTTTAAAAAATCAACTTATGTGGGCCAGAGACTATAGCCAGAACAGGGAGATAAGTTATGAGTATGCAATAGGGCACTGAAATTTGATGGTGACTTCAAACTGGGGAAGTTACCAGCGGGGGAAACAGAAGCAGATGATGGTAGATATGGTGAAACTTGAATAGACGCTGGTTCTGTTTTGGATCTCTTTTGTTCCACTTAGTCTTTCCTCCTTTCCCTCCCCTGTATGGACAATGTTCTCATGGCCAGAGGTTATACACAGGCTTGATTGTGTTGCTCATCAGGACCCACACTGCAGTTACGGTGCATGCACACTCAGCCATGATACTCTGGGGATTGTACTCTTCAGTTGCGGTTCTCAACAATCACCCTTGTTGTTGTGCTTGCCACACAGTGCACACTTTACTTATGGAACA